AGATCGAAGGGAACGAATTTCGGAAAGTTTCCCTCGGAAGTTCCCTCCAGGCACGAAGAAATCTGAAAGTAGGAATAACTCGTTCCCCCGAAAGGCGAACTCCGCAAACTCGGCGAGAATCGGGCGCTGAAACTCCGGAGGAGAATTGCACGTTAAGCGATCAAAAGTTCGGGGTTGTCAAAGCGAGGCGGATAGCTCCTTTTAGGAGCGGTCGCCAAGCCTCGGGTAGCTCGGGTGGCGCAGCTCTCCCTGATTATCGTTTCTAATTTTCCGCCATTTCCAGGATCTACCTGGATCCGCGGGATTCGCGGGATGCGTCTACAAGTTTTGCGCGAATTATTCTGCTCGTTGGTGCAAGAAAATTGCCGTCGCAACTCCCGCGATTAGATCCTCTCACGCCTCTTGCGAGAACGATTTGCCACGATGTTAAATCGCATTTTTATTGCCTCCCAGTCAGCAGCGAAGCGTTAAAGGTCGCGCATTATCTGAACATTAAGGGTCGCCGCTCTCTTTCTCTCTCACGCTCATATAAACGCATATATAAACTCGCATATATAATTCGCAGCGCGACTGAGGTTTACGCAATCTTACTCCGTACTCGAAAATGAGATTTTAATAACACAGCGTGTTTACCCGCCATCGCGGTCAATTATCAGAGATTGATGGTATTGAGCTTGAATAATAAATCATCGAACGTTAGATGATCAACTTCGGCATTATATGCATTTACAATATCACGATATGCGTTCCGCGTATATTTTGAAATTTTCATATAATGACGACATACATGCGATACGAATTTATAGAATTTCACAGCTTTGACGGGTGAGTTGAACGATATATATTTTTTTTTTTGTAAAACACTGTCGGACAAGGGGAGGATAATCTCTGATGTGAGTGTAGCGCTTGTGTATCAACTTGTGAATTAAAATCGAGGAAACGCCTGCGGCGTTCGTCTATTTTCGCGATGCGTTACAGGAACATCGTCAGCTGCATACAAACTTTCGTTGCGCTCGTGGTAGGATTCGCGTGAGTCATGCCGAGCACTTCGGTCCGCGAGCGACGCGACGTCGGACGGAAAGTTCGTGACTGGCTTATACGAGTTCGAAAACTCGCGGAAAGGGATTAAACCTTGCGACTACTGGCTCGTAATGGAACTCACTCGCGAGAGTTCCACGAAGGATCGATCATTAAGGAGAGCTCGCGGAGAGACGAGGTCACGCCGTCGAAGACCTCGTCTCTGAGATATCAGTCGTTGCCTCGCCATTTTGTTTTCCTTTGCTTTCGGAGGCTCTCAAAAATTTGTTTATAACACGTACTTTTTAACTTCCGCTGAGCAAAGAAATATATACGTACGATCGATTTAATAGCAGCGTGATAAAAATAAAAGATTGTATATTTAGGCTTGCGGGATCTTCAAATTTAAAATTTTAACGACTTGACGCTTCGATGATATCGAAATAAATTTTTTTTAGAAGGAATAAATTCAAGAATATGTTATATGTTAATTGTTTGCGTGCAGAATTTGATGTCTTTCTTTAATTAAATCGCGATTTAAGAT